CCCATTTTAATCTGATACAAAGAATATCATATCTTAAATATTCATCACACTGAAATAAATCAATGATGTAATGAATGATCATCATATTGAATGAAAAAACTGAATTAATGTTGGGTAAAAAGATAATTTTGCCTTTTCATTTCGTCAGATCATTATGAGAAAAAACTACCTACCTGTGGTGTTTGAATTAACTAATGATTCTTTTGTACTTGTTGATTGCTCGATTTCGAATTCCAAATACAATACATTCGTTTGTGCTTGTGTCTTCTTTATTCAATGGCGTTATTTCTTGGACTCTTAGTTCGTGCTATAATTCAAATAATTCGAAATATTATACTGGCGTCGCGATGGAGCCTACAATGGAAAAGTTAGATATTCATTCAACTTCTGAAGCTTTTGAGGATTATTTTGAAAGGTTCGAAATCTGGGTCATGACCAAGGAAGATTATGAGGATGTTAATATTGTGGCATATTTCCTCACATTCATCGGTAAAGAAGCACACAGCTTAATAAGAACTCTGGCTATGCCGGAAAAGCCCATTTCGCTTCCTTATACAACTCTCAAGGAATTACTACTAGACTATGTCAAGTATGTAAATTTTGATTGTAGTAAAGAAGGGAAATTTCCTGAAATGATTAATCAGGACGTCAAGAATTCTACTACATCACGTCATCTCAATCCAGTGCGTACTCAAGGTTTTGCAGATAATTCATTGAGGAGTTGCAGTGTGTTTCACGAAGATGGGCACAAGTTTGGTCAGTGTTTGTCCTGTGGGAAGTTCCATGCTTTTAATTCATGTAAATTTCGTAATTCAAAGTTCTTTAAATGTGATGATATTGGATATATTCAGTCAGTCTGTAATACTACTGTTCATCTTGCTGCAACTAATATTAAGTCTTGTAATTCTGATTCTACTGAGTCGAGTATTTATAATGATGATTTATCTTTATCAACTATTACAATAGACAGTGTAGAGTCACAAAGCAGTTCAGAGTTAAATCAAGTTCAGAATTCTTGCAAAACAACAGTTTCTCACCAATCGATTTATCAGAATTCTCATGCTATTGTACGAGGTATGGTTTTTCTTAATGATTCACATGTTTCTGATGAAATTCCTTGCAAATCTGAAGAAAATATGTTGAGTGAACATAATTATGATCAAAAACCTTATGTAGTTTTGATAGATGCTAATTTTTCTAATGATCCATTACTGTGCAATTCCATGCTTAATGAATTTCATGAGAATATTTCAGAAGAATCAAATCCTGATGTTATATCATATATTACCTATCCTTATAATGCATTTGATCCTTGTGAAAAACCTGTTCAATGCGAAGCACGAGTATTAAGTGAGCTCAATTTTGATTACAATTCGGATGATTTCATACCAACTGCTGTTCATCTTTATCACATATCCACTTCCAATGTATACTCTGGTCAATGTGAGAAATATGTTTTAAATGAAGTCACACTATTCATAACTTGGGGATATAAAGATCCAACATTATTTCGTGGGGGAAGAAAGTGTTGAAAATATATGGTTCCAATTCTAGATATTAATGATTTCGGTACAAAACCGGCATGCTGATTGTATACAATTCCAGGTTAGTCTGTTCCGATTTCGTTTGTTAATTCCAATACTAATGAGCACATTCTAGATACTACAAAGTTTTTATCCAATACAATGTCGGACAGACTCAGGATGAACTTAACAAGAAGACATACAACCGATTACAAACACTTATACTTCTATTTAAGCTGCGGCGGATGTAGTGTTTGAATTAACTAATGATTCTTTTGTACTTGTTGATTGCACGATTTCGAATTCCAAATCCAATACATTCGTTTGTGCTTGTGTCTTCTTTATTCAATGGCGTTATTTCTTGGACTCTTAATTCGTGCTATAATTCAAGTAATTCGAAATATTATACTACCGTACAGAAGTTAATAATTTTATTAAACCATAAAATTTTGAATTTAATGGAATTTGTAGAATTTTATTACATCAAGTAATAAATCAACTGAAGGTCACAGAAAATAAAGGACTAAACAAGTGTCACTGTTAAAACAATGTGACACTGGTGTTTTTTTTAGAATTTTGGAAGATATAGGATCTACTTCATGAAACAAACATCTTCTCCTAAAGAGTATTGATTTGCGTAGTTTAACTATTTAATCTATATTGTAGGCTAATAAATTCAAGATAGAAAATAGTAATCATTAAACTTTTTTGTGAATCAATAAATGACCATTAATTTACCTATTTATGCGAATACTTTTAAGGAAATTACATACTCTTTATGAAACAAAACTGTGAAAACGGCTACCAGTGAACTAAAGGAAGCTTTAAAAATGTCGAAAATATTCCATCCAATCATCATTTGGAAGAACATTCCGGATTCTTGATATGTAGCTTCTCTATTGAACAAATGTTACAAACCACTGCATGTAGATTAGATGACTGTAATGATGATTTCGTTTTTGATAAAATGATAAATACAGGAGTGTTTTGCACCACATTTGAATGGTTGGAATAAGATTTATTTTTACTAATCTTCTGTCTTTTAACTTACGACTTGGATGGTTCAGATTGTACGTGATATAGCGAAAATTCAGGTTTTAGACATAACACAAATAAAAAAATGTAACTCTGTACAATTACTAGTAGTAAAAATTATATGACCTATGATACCCCAATACGCTCCCGAATGCCGTGTTACGGCGAAAAGTGGAGACAGTCAGTTCTTCCTCTCAAAACGCTCTCATATGGCCACGAGCATACAGCCAATGTCATGGAAGTCCCACTCACTACCTTCTCGCACCACGGGTGTTCTTTACGAAATTGAGAGGACGAAAAGAGAATGTCCAGCGCTTGAACTGGGCTGGTGGACATGAAGAGTCCACATAGAGGAGTTGGAAAACCCCAGTTCCAAACCAATATTGCATATGGGCTCCAAGACTCTGAAGGAACAAATGGCTTACGAATCAACTGTTGGGTCACCAAGTACCATGTGACTTCATCTCCTTACGTTGCTCCGCTGTCTTGTGTATCAGACCTTTAGATCGAAGGCTCCGTGTATGGCCCCCTAAAAAGATTACCTGCTTTAGTTTAGGCACCCGAACTGTATCCCAACCTATATACAAATTGAATGATTTGTATAGCGCATATCTATTTGGTGCCTTTTTGTACCAATGTATATGTGTTTAAAGAAATAAATCCTAATATGCTATATGAATATTTTCAGTAAAACTAATATAGTTTGTACATCCAGTATATAATTTATAAGTATTCTAATTTTAGAAATATCATAATGCTTCTATGCATTTCAAGATGTTAAAGAAATACCTACTGTTTTCAATTATATATTTATTCAAAATGAATAGTCAAATTTTGTTTTATGCTGTAATGCTACATATTGTCCAATAAAACATTGAAAATCTTAAATTTCCGCTATTTTCACAAATTATATTTTTAAACAAAATTGAAATCTGACAGATTGAATTCATGAGTCAATTGAAGCTAGACCACCATGGAAAACCTGAAAGCACTGGATGGCCGTTTAGTTCTACTATGTGACTCTTCAGCAATGCGCATCCACGATCCCGCACCTCGCGGGATTCAAAACCAGGACCTACCAGTCTCGCACCAGGCGCCTAACCCACTAGACCACTGAGCTGGCCGGCATCCAATGGTGTTAATTTCTAACTTCAACCAATCCACGAAGTTATGCTACCGTACACCATTGTCTTCAGTGAGTTGATATCTCACAACAGACCTGGTTGAACTTCACTGGTAACGGCTTCTCACTAGAACGTGGATGAGCACTATTGAGCAGTCCCATACTAGGACGAAACGGCTGTCCAGTGCTTCTAGGTCTAGCTTCAATAGACTCATGATTTCAATGAGTGAAATTTCGAAAATATCCACAAAACCCCTTCTCGAAATTGAAATCTTCAATCGTTTATTTTATTAAATTTAAATGTTCCATTGTTTTGTTACTTTTATTTACAATCCTTATTTAAATAAATAAATAAAAACTAACTATCTAAGTTGGCCAGCTCATCTTAAAGCAAAAGTTGTTTACATAATTTTTAAAAAAAAAACCAGTTAAATTAATTTTTTTATTTATTTTCATATTACATTAAAATTCTTATTTGTTTTAGAGTTTAGTTTTGTTTAAGTGAAATCACTTATGTAAAATTCATATTTATTCGTTCATTTAATATTTTCAAAAAAAAACAACAGGTAAACATAAGACACAAGTAACAATAAAATGTGTTTTTGTGGAAGAATTTGAGAAGAGAAAGAAAAAGAAAGAAATGATGTTCCTTTAAAAAAAGATAAGTAACGATCGGAAGAATATATGTGAAATCATTATTGATTAATCTGGACAATAAAAGAGAAAAACAAATAAACTATCATTTCGATTATGTAATTAGAAGACGAAGATTATCAGAACAATGTGATGATATATTAGAGCATTACGAACATTACGAACAATCTGATCACACATTTACTTGCTAAGAGCATTTGTATATAAAAATAAAAGGTCAACTAGACTGGAAATGGGGTAATAGGAGACAAGGATGATAATAATCAGAGTAATAATAACAATAATAATGTGAGCACAATTCAAAACCTAATTATTACTCTTATTATTATCTTTATCTTCTCTTACCCTCCATTTCCAGTCTAGTTGACCTTTTATTTTTATATATAAATGCTCTTAACAGGTATATGTGTGATCAGATTGTTCGAAATGTATTGCTCTAATATATCATCACATTGTTCTGATAATCTTCGTCTTCTAATTACATGATCGGAATGTGTCAAAGGGACTAGTTGTTTCAAACCATCATTTGATTTTTTCTTTAAAAATCATGTTGAAAGGATGTAAAATACAATTACATTTTATAATTATTGTATATGATGTGTACATTTAAGATAAAGGTAACCAATTTACTTTAGTCAATAATAATTGGTAACTTTCGTTTCATTAAAACAAAAAAAAAACCCATAATTGATTAAACAACAATCACAATAAAAATATTGATTTGTAATGTGTAAAGAAATAAGATTGAAATTGTTACTAGTTGGTAAATAAATTCAATTCTAAGTGAATTGTTTATTTTACTTTCTGTCTTCTTTTTTTTTAAAGGGGGGGGAGTAAGTCATCATGTAATCATGTTTATATTTTTTTGTTTTATTGATTTATTTACTCTGTAAATGTAAGTTTACAATCAATTAAATAAAAGTAAAAAATAATGATAATAATAATCAATAATTTGTAATGATAAGAGATTTAAAAAGAATTAACTAAACTATAATTTTATTTCAAAATTGTTCATATATAATCTCCATCATAGTATTGATAACGTTGATGAAGATAATGATAATGATGATAATGAAGGTCATGAAGATAATGATGATAATGATGATTGATTGATTGATTTAACCTATAAAATAAAAAGAAGTACTAATTATTTAACCAAAATTCGTAAAAAGAACAATAATAAAAGGTCTGAGGTGAAGAATAGATTTAAAAATGAAAACAATAGAGAACATTTGAATCATTTTGAACAAATACTATGTATTTATGTTAACAGTTGAATAAAATAGTTTGTTTATGTTGTCATTATGATGATACATTTATCTAGTAACTGATTTCACTTGGAGAACTATTAAAAATTAGGGAACATTAAATATCTGTTTCATCTTTTGTACAGACACATTTGTAGTACACATAGTTTTCTCCTTCAGGCATCACAGACTTTAAGAGAAGAGTGTTATCCTTAAATCACTTACTTAACATTCAGTAGTTCTTGTTCGTTATATCTGTCAGTTGATGATATTGTGTGATTATCACATGTTGGATGATACGCGTTCCGTCTCTAGTATGATTAAACTTTTGAGAAATTTCGTACAAGAACGAAATCTCTTCAGCGGACTATGGTTTCAACGACTGAGTGGTTGAAGTTAGTCCATTATTTAAAACTGTTTCAATTTCTACATCAACTACAAATGCTAATGCTATTCATTATGTAATAGATGTATGTTACTTTGATTCTATCTAGTTCTTGAAATCGATACTCTTGAAACAAACAAGACGCGGTAAAATTGTGTCAAGACTCCCCAAATAACTAATTAAATATATTGAACTGATTATAAAAAGTGTTAACACATACGGTTTCACTGCCATAAAAACTTTAAAAAAGAACATAACAAAAGTGTTTGGATCATTTTGTATTCAAACCTTAACTTACATAGACTTTCTTCTATAAAAATACTAATTCAGTGGTTAAATTTATAAATGCTTCTAAATTTTTTGACAGAACTGTGTTACACGGTTGATTTAAAACAACCTTTCTAATGTTATAGGGAACTGATAGAAGACTAGTACCTAGATTGATTAAATTCTCAATTACATAAAAATTAAAATCCTCTTTGTATGTTTTAAGTTTTACTTACGTTAAACTACCCTGATAATATTGATTTGAATTCTCATGTTTAATAGATGGTATCTATAAAGTTATTCTTCTTATTTTATTGATTATGTGGTTCTTTGTTTTCTGGTTTGAATCTTTTTATTTCTTAAAAATATATTTTAACTAATTAATTTATGCAGATTGAAATCATGAGTCAGTTGAAGCTAGACCACCATTGAAAGCCTGGAATCACTGGACGGCCGTTTATATATATATATATATATATATATATATATATATATATATATATATATATATATATATATATATTTATCATATGTTCATTAATGTCAGTGTAAAATTGAAGAATAAAATATAATATATAATTTCATACACATAGTTCCGTTTATCATTTTGAAAAGAGCAAGAACAAAGATTCTAGCAGAACAGAATGAATTCATTTTATTTCGTAGGTTCTCGTCAGCCGCTTACGACCTGTCATATCTGAAATGATAATTACATAATGCGTTTAAATTACATGAAAGAGTTTGGTTAAAAGTTATATTGAAGACATATTCGTATAGTATAGCAAAGGTGTAAATAAAATTAATAGACGGAATATTCTAAATGTAAATCTTATGTGAGAGTACGTTCTACAACATTGCTTGTGACAACAGTTTAAACGGCCAGAAACAAGTGATTATATGATGAATAAATATTGACAGGAATTTAGTGAGTAGAGCTCAGTTGATAAAATAAGATTATTAATTTGGAAGATAGTTGAAATAAAACTCAATGATGTAATAAATGCAGGAGACAGTTTAAATAAAAAGAAAAAAAAATTAATATTCAGCGAAAGAGTATTTGTCACCAAGGCAAGGAAAGATAACTTTTTTTTGAACACATAAATCAGGTTTTTGGCGTCTGATAGCAACTGCTTCAGCAAACTTCAGAAGACTGGAGATTGGCTGCTTACTAATCACCTTGAATGGTTGTAGAGTATCGACCTGATGTCCTGTATCAAGGAGATGTTTGGTGATTGCACTATCTAGAATCATTCTTTCTCTTGTTCTGAAGCTTTTTGGAAAATATTCAAAAAATCTGAGATATGCCATCCTTTCTGTTCGGCCAATGTAGCTGATTTGGCAGTTACAACACGTAAATTTATAAATACAATTGGCGGTAACATGAAAAGGATGCTTACCAACCTTTGATTGAGTTATTGAACATGTTGTTTTGTACAGAATTAGAAGTTTGGCCGCCGGATAAGTTCTGGCTAGCGCAGTATTCAGTCTCCTGTTGATTGTGTTTGCAACATCATCACCTTTGAGGTTAAGATTTATAGTTATTGGTTTTTTATTGACCGTAATTACTTTATTATTGTTTTCTTTGCGCTTTTTATATTTGTCAATAAACTTCGCGGGTAAAAGTTGTCTCGTAGGCACTTTTCCATGTTCATCAATTCTTCTTCCAGTCTGTCAGTGGTACATATCCTTTCTGTCCCATAAAATAGTGTTTTAACTAATGCCTTCTTGTAAGTGAGTGAGCAAAAACTATTGAAATTCAGGTAAAGGCATTCCAAGTACTTTTTTGATAAAGCGAACGTTGGACTGTTCCGTCTGTCCTACATTTTATAGCAACATCAAGAAAGTGGAACATATCATTCTGTTCGTGTTTTATAGTAAATTGTATGTTAGAATGAGCGTTATTGAAGTGTTTTAGCAGGCGGATTGCATGCTGTTTATTGTTAAAGACAATAAACGTGTCATCAATATATCTGAAATTGTAATTCATCAGCTCATGGTTTTTTATGTTTGTGTGACCTTGTGACCTATTATTATACAACGTAATCATACCGCGAATTAGAGAATAGTGATATATCATTGAAACCAATGACGTATAAAATCTGTACGAACGGTCTTCTTCCAGCCTAGCGCTACCTGTTAAGTTCAGAACACCAATCTCAGTTTTTGTAATATGAATCCTTATATTTCAAACATGCTGGGTTCATATACCAACCAAATAGACCATATCAGACCATAAAATAAAAAATAACATACATACAAGATCTAGTCAAAAGTGGCTGTGAATATGAGAGATTGTAATTAATAGACTGGGTAAAACTCAAGAACAGTAAATCATGTAATAACAGTCTATGATTCATAACAAAGCGTCTAATAAGAGGAACATGAATATGCATAGTTTAGCTACTTACTAACTATTCAATAAAAATTATATGTATCATATTGGTCCATAAAGAGTTCTCAAGAGTTACCATTTATAACTGTCGTCGAGATATAATGGTTTGTTTATATAAATGGAAAATGTATACATTGGAATAGTGCTGTGCTTGAATTGAATAGGTGGGAAAACCGTTACACAATTCAAAAACATTTACTCTTCAACAGGAATGCAAGAAAATTATTCAATGTACTCTTACATATGTAGTCGATTCTAATAAATTCACTGATCAACAGCTTGATTGTAAGGTTGCTTATAAAATTTATCCAAATCAATCAAGATTTCTTCATATTCAACTACTTAAAGCAGCAGAAGCTCTGGTCCTCCAGGATATAAAGACTGATCTGTGTGCACAAAAGAAATGTATTTTATCGTTCTTTTTACCGTATGACGCAATAATGTATGCCAGATACGAGAATGGATGCTTGAATACGTATATTTTGTACACTCAATAATCGGAACAGACAATCAGAGAATGAAGCGAAGAAGAGAGAGCCGAGAGAAATTACGCACTGTGGAAAAACCATGTGAACCAACTCCATTTAATTTAATTAATATTTATAGTGAAATGAAAATAAACTACAGTTATGTGATGAGTAGGATAAGTGTATACACCTGCGCTCATATAAAAACAGTCAGTGTTGATAAGTGAACAGTTAACAAAGTCAAAACGTGACTCACGATGAATCGATAAATTGGACTGTCCCAAAGCTAGAATAAGTTATGTAGGCTTAACATAGTAACCGACACTATAATTGCTTGAGATATCAATGTTTTTCATTTAACTTCTGTAATGTCATTAATTATTGAGACAAAAACATTTTAGTTTCTTTACTCCATTCAAATAACAATTTATTGTTAATTTCCTTTCGTCCTTTTATTTACACACCATCTTTTATTGCTATTATTTACACTAAATAATCTAACATCTGACAGCTGAATACAAAATCATGTTTAATCTTTATAGTAAAATTAGATGTCTAGGTTCATTTTTACGTAACTTAATGGATTGATTTAATGTCACATTTGAGACTGTATTTTATGATTGTTCTTAATGTATACAGGTGAAATGTATTCATAAATGCATATCGATTTATATCAGTAGTTGATATAGTAACACAATAAATATTTAAACAATGACTTCTTTTCACTTGGTATTGTTTTGCTTTTATCTTCCCATTGAGGTTTAAGACTGTAATTAATCAGTCTATTATTGTCATATGTGCATACTGTGCGTATGCCTCGATATTGCCTTAATTCACAAGCTTTTATAATCAAAGATGGATAGTGGCTAGCAGTGGAATCCAGGACGTAAGTTTCATCCTATTTGGGACACATCAGCTGGATGTATTTGCATCTCAGAGTTTATATTCACTTTGGGACTCGAACCCAGTACCATTCGCTTCAAATGCCATCGCCTTATCCACTCAGTTATTGAGTCCTAATAGTCACTTGCTTGTGCAATGAGGTGAATTTAAATTCACTAAGTATTGTTTTGCTTAGGACGAAACGCGCGTCTTGGATTCCATTGTTAGTCACTATCCATCTTTGCTTATAATGATTTCTTCTGTTCTTAACAATCATTTACTATCAATTTAAGTTCTATCTATTTACCAAATAAGTATGAAAGAATATTTTACGGTTAAATTGTGAAATGTTTAATAATTATTTAAATAAATATAAATATTATGATTTAGTTTTATGAATATAGTCAAAGATAAAATGAGTTAACGATTGCTTTGTTTGACTTTTTCAAAGTGTTTTCAAATGTTTAATATGCTTTTATGTTCATTGAGATTCATCAGTGAATTAGAATCCCTACCGTTGTGACTAACTTTCTTTTTTTTTCAAAGACACGAGATTCAATGAACGGATCTATGTAAGCTATGTATCATAATATTGTAATCTTTCAATGACATCGTCTTGTTTAGTCACGGATTATATTTCCTCACGGAGTTAATTCTTAAAAGTGTGTAGGGTGAGATTATAATTTATGGATGACGTTTGAGCGACGCTTAAGTGACCTTGAGAATACTCACCTAATAACTAGGACCGAATGAGGGTTGTTAACCAATGTGAAGAATTAGAACTATGATTTACAGTTAATGGTTAAGGTTAGAAATTAGATTTAGGTTTTTCATCACGAACTGACATCAGGTCTAATGCCAAAATTCTATTTAGTCAAATGGATGTGTGGATTTCGCTCCAAAATCCAAAACCTATTATCTTATATCTGATATGTTCGTCCATAAATCATAGTCTCGCCATGTACAGTTTGATGATAAATTTATTGAAACAAGATCCTTTCACCGAATTTGCTATTTTTATCTATTAAATGAAAACTATAAATTTAGTATTATTTTAACAATATAGATTCAGTTTAAGAAAATGTATCTTTGACTTTATTACATTATTAGGCATGTCAATCAGTTAAGGTGAGTTCATGTCGGATTAAAGGCATGCGTGTGGTCGATGATTCCGAGAGACTCTTAGCTCCATGCCCTTGTCAATTATTGACTGTTGTCTACGTCCCACGATGATAGAAAAATCTGATGTATGTTTTCCTCTGTGTTGTATTTCACAATCTGGAAAACTTCTTGTAAACTGAATTCAAAAGAAATTGTTTACTCACTAGATTATATGAAACTTATGAGACTAGAAATATTTTATTTTAAAATGTCTGCTAGAATGTATGTTCCACTTAAAAAGAGTCGTCAATGGTTCAACGGGAAAAACGTTTAGCTATATTTGTGATGAATTTCAGAGGTATTTTGGACACTATCGACACCAATAGTACAATTATAGTGATGTATACGTATCATTATGAAAAAAAATAATTTGATGTCCACTACCTTTGCGTATTTAAGTTTTTTACAAAATTATAATGTAATTTAATGGGACCCAAATGAAACAAGTTTATTATCCATACTAATTTACATTGGATGAAATTAGTAGTCTACATTTTAAGAGTTCGCGTGCGAGACCGAAGGTTCTGGGTTCAGATTCCGAGTATGGGTATGTGGATACGTACTGCTGAGGAGTACCATACTTGAACGAAACAGCTGTCCAGTGCTTCCAGGTTTTTGATGATGGTCTAACAACAATCGATTCATGCTCTCAATCAAAAATAATCTCCATATTATTTGTTCATAAAAGTCAATAACAGTTAATAAGTGTATAAAATCCATCACATTTGTATGTTATTCTTTATGACTAAATTTTATAATAATCAGGAATATTTGAATTTTGAGCCCAAATTATCGATACATTTTTTCTTACCAATATCAGACTCTATGTTATGACTTTATGTCCAGCTTTTTATCACGTGATTTATTCACCAATCAAAATACGACTTATACAATCTTAGCGCTGTGCCAAACCAATGACGTTCGACTGGTATGAGCAGCCAAGCGTCCTAGCCCGTCCACTTGAGTCCAGAAAACCAATACCAGCTTCCACTATGCAAATCGAATCGAATCATTTATTTCAGAAATACTGGGTTTATATATCAATCAAACAGATCGCAACGCACCATGAAATAGCAAATAAGATTTGTATACAATAAAGCCAAAAAGTAACTGTGAACGTGGGAGGCGGTAGTCAATAAACTGAATATAGCCTAAGAACAGTAAATCGTACAATAATAAGTTATAGGTCAAAATAAAGCTTGTATTAAGAGGAATATAGATATACATAATCTAATTATTGAATAGCTATACCATAAATGTATATAGATAATATTAGTCAATTAACATGTCTCAAAAGTTACTCGTGATTTAATCTTCGTTCGGATATAACATTCTATATGACTGATTTTTCATTGGAATATATACACATATAATTATACTTACCTGTTGTTGTATTATATACAGTATATTGTCCAAAATTTGATAATTGAGCAGATTGATGAATTGAATTTTTATCAATTTCATTATTATTTGTTGTATTCACAATAGTACCAGATACATTAGCATTTGTTGTATGAATAAATGGTGGAATATTTGTAGAATTGAATGGATATGCTGAAAATGTAATCAATGGAATATTAGATAATGCTGAATAATTAGTCAGATCCAAATTTGGAATGGTCAGATTTTTTAAATTTAACATGTGTTGTTGTATATCACATGGTGAAGTACTGTTATTATTATTATTATTACCATTATTGCTGTTATTAATACTTTGATATACAGGAGTTTTATGATTTATTAATGCATTTTGAATTCCTCCAATATTTGCAAAAGTAGCTTGACTATCAGAGAATTGAGCATTTGTTATGTTAGGAATGATATTAATCTCAGGTTTCTCTGATTGGTAACTGAAATAATCATAGTAATATTAAAATAAAAAGGAAATAAGCATTTGAACAAAAGTAAAAAACAAATTGTTTAACAAGGAAGCTTTTAAAGAATGGTCACATTTTGTGTACGTAAGATTAAAACCAATATTGAATAAATTCGTGAAGCAAATATATTGTTAATCGAAGTATAGAGAACAAATCGATTTATACTACGGATTGACCATCTTTTTTATAAACAGAGGGCTGACTCTCATTATTATAGAGCAATCATTTCACATTATAAAACATTGTTTCTTATTGCATTCTTAAATATTTACTTTTTAAACATGAATAGAACCGGTGATCTCGACGTGATTGGTTCTGTGGTGCATTTTCTTCCAGATAATTCCTAAACTTTGTATATCATTCTTCCCGATAACAGTTACTAAATAACTCTCAGTAGTGTACACATTTTAAAAGACAATATGGAACGTTGATTACAGCTCAGATCACGAAGCGACAAGCACACGAAGTGAATATGAATGACTGCAGGAGGAAAAATTAATCCATAGAATTTAAGAGGCATATATATGTAGGAAAGTGACTACGCCGTCGAGTGGCTTAGGCAACCAGCACTTAAGCTAATAAAAAGCATATATGTGTTGACTGTAACACGTAACCAACCATACCTGCTCATAGAAGCACGATAATAATGCAGAGATGGAGACGAATTGTTAGTGGCCTAATGACACTGTCAATTAAATTGAAAGGCATGACAAAATTGAACGTATACAGATTCTATACTGTTAGCAGTTAAAAGAAAATATGTTTTTATTTTACTAAGGATCCACAAAAACAAGTTTTACTTATCCACTATGCAAGACATGCATTCAAAATAACTGCAAGTGGAGTCTGTTTACCATACTTATCAGAGTTCAGTAAATTTCAAATGATATAAATATCTCGGGAATTAAGTTTAAGAGGAGATATATTTACATATCTTACATACTTGATCAAAAACCAATGTTGTCATTAGATTGAGATTTAAAATAAACGTTTTGACAACAAAAATTTATAAAACTAGAAAGTATATGACTTAAAGTTATTACAAGTTTAAAAATAAATGTCTTTTGGAGTGTTCATCACTATAAATTCATGTTCTTGTTATGGACTAATTGTGGAAAGGTTTCAACCATGTTCGAAGAATAATGCACTGTAAATTATTCAACATTTCACAAGGATGCTTAATATCCCGTTTATCTTACTTTATGAGATAATAATACCCTATTTGATTCACAACAGTTTTCCAAATAATACTGCTCGCGATGACAGTTGTCCTAGTAATTAATTGAATCTGTGTTGATCGATGTTTTTGTGTGGTATTTTATGATTTGTTTTTACTATAAATGTTTATGGAGATTGCTGACATACATAGTTTATATCATAGATTGATCTTGGATAAACGCTGAAAACCAGTATTTACTTAAAAGCTATTTAAACTCCTTAAGAAACTCCTTATCACTGTGTATCTACTCTCTAACCGAGGATTCAATCCATGACCTGTAAACAAGCGCTTAAATTTTAGATCACTGAGTCGGTATCTATTAGTTTTTCATATTTGACACTAATAGATGTTTAACTACGATCAGTCTATGATATAAACTATGAAATTTTGCTTTTTACTAAATTCGTTGACTAGATATTTTTGATACTAACAATTTCATAATACCAAATTGAAATAAGCAAGTTAATACACAGTATGAGCATATTTTTTTTTTACATCATCATTGAAATGATACTTCATCATTGTTAAACAATTAATTTCCTTTCCAAAGAACAGTTTATGATTTTCGATTTTTTTTTAATTTTATAACTGTCTCTTTCCTCTGTGTCTCAATGTTTCCAGTTGGGAAAGTATTTGACAGATTTTTAAAAAAAAACAACTAAAACTGTCTCCTATATATGCAAATCTATGTACAAAAAAATATAATTTCATTTTTTGGAGGTAGTTTTACTAATGTGAAATTTACACATTCATTGTAGTTTGTACTTGTCGTTGTGGAAATTCTAGAAAAACTTCAGTTCTATTTTGTGTAATAATACTGGTTACAAAATAAATTGACTGATTGAAAATAGTAATGTTCAATAGGTATCCTGGGAAATGTATTCATAAAATATGTTCAGTGAAATAGTCGCAATAACTAAAGTCGGATGGTAATTAGCAGTGGAATTCAATACGCTCAATTTGTCCTGTTTGATCTACGTCAAATGGCTGTACTTGGATTTTAGAATTGATATTGATAAAGGGACTCAAAGCCGACGCCAACGCGTTTTCTACTTGGTTAATGAGTCCAGATAGCCATTGGGTTGTACAATGGGGCAAATATTGTTTTATCTGTATTAGCTGTTTGAATCTTCGATCAATCTGTTTTGACACATTTGTATCCTGAGTTGATTGCCTCTATATTACCGTCCTGGATTGTTTTGTATGTTTTATCCGAAACAGTTAGTATATATCTGTAGTTCATCGTTATATTTTCCTGTGATACGGTTACATTTCGAATAATTAATGTTTTTGCAAAAATGTCAGATCTTTGAGTTGTTATCTATTGCATTACCTCAGCAAATATATGCAAAGTTCGTTTTTACACAATTCAATGCAGTATTATTAAGTACAATAGATAAAAATCATTCAAGCTCATTTTCAAGCCAATAATATACACATACTCATCTATTTTACAACAGTTTGCTGTAATTTAAAGTAATTAATCCCTTTGATAGATTCGGATAAGGCGATAAGAAGACAAAGATTATTAGAGCTACATGATATTTTAGCTTAATACATTTTGAACAATCTGATCACATTCTTACTTGTTTAATATGTAAATTGTTCAAAATGTATTACTCAAATATATCATATAGTTCTGATAATCTTTGCCTTCTTATTACACTATCTAAGTTTGTTGTAAACTTATATAGAAAACGTTATCCATAGTTCTACTTGACATTTAAAATCTACTTGTTAGTTCATGTAGTGAAGTAATTAAATCGAGAGATATTTCTACTATATGGTTACAGTGAACGTCACCCATTCTGACAAGGGAGAGAGATAAGTATATGTTTTAATTGATGCAAATGAAATATCAGATGATGTTTTACAAAAAGTCACTAGAAACGCTTACTTTTTAGCCAATTCTATAGCCGATAAACTTAAAAGGAGTGGATTGTTATCCGTTGGCGGTACAAAAGGGATTACAGTTTGATTCGTCAGCGTTCCCCTTGTTACATTATCAAGTAGTAATGCAGGTATTGGAGTATCTTGATTAGGAGTTCCAGCGAACCAGCATGTATAAGGCCATAAAGGATTGTTTGCTGTTGGAGTGACAACGGGACCATTCAACTTGTTAGCATCTTGTAAAACGTTCCTCATTGATATATGTTGTCCACTATTTATTACTTGAGTTTTATCTGTTGGCGTTATACAACTTATACTAACCGGATGTAATTCTTCAGATATATATTTCTTCGCTGGTAAGTCTAGTATCAAATTATTTTGTCTTGATGGAGATGTAAGCCAAGAACCTTGAGGTTTCAATAGGATTCCATTTCGGTCATCATTCATATTATGATTTAGAGTAGGAACAAACATGGCAGATGATAGACGCTTTGCCTGTAATGAAGGAATACAAATGTCAAAAAAAATATGATTAAACTTGAATCGCTATATTTTTGTCGGTGAAAAAAGTTAATTTCTCCATTTTGAAATAAAAAATGGATGCTATTGCATTAGAGATAGTCTAGTTTCAACGTTAATCCAGTATTCGATTAATATGACCTGAATAACTTTTATCATTGAAAGAATGGGTTTACATTTTCATTTAGAATGTATATTTGGAATATAAATTTCTTTGAAAAATAGTTTTCTGGTTATATCATGTGTTTGTTTAAAAAAAAAGCAGTTTCAACACTTGTATATTACTGAATTAAAGTTCTATTATATAGAAATAGTTTAGTTAATAAGTTATAATAAAAACGATAGAACAATTGAAGCGAAACGATAATAATTCATTTCATTGCATAAATTCTTGTCCGTGAAATGTATAAGTTGGATTGACATATGATGTAAGATCATATGACTAAAGATAATGAATGTTTGTAGTTGTAAAAATTATAATCAAAGTTAACACTTATCACAGGATCATAAGATGAAAATTAGGGAAAATTATAACAAAGAGTGGGATAAGAATTATCTACTACCTGGAGGTTAAAAACCTAGGTACATTACAACAAATTACTTCAAAGGTTATGAGGAACAGTTCAAAACTGAAAATTTAAAATAATGTCTTCTTTTAGTTCAACGGTAAAAATAATGTTTGTTAATGAGCTATTCAGGTATATTTCTGTGCTACAGGACTTTAATCTTACATTCTAGAAAATGCATTGTAATTCGTTTCAGCAAAAATCTGGTTTATTTATTAACACTTTGAAATTGACTAATCTCATCTCTACATAGAATGTTAGTTATATTATTGGTAGGATTTATTGACATCATATAAGAAAGCAATGAACTTATTACACTAGGAGACTATATTTAACAGAAATACAAATTTTGTTAAGTTATTGAAAATCAAGCATAAATATATTGATTAATACTGTGCAAATATCTTTGTCACATGATTCATCCTGACCTAAAACACTTAATTAGTATTCCTTCGTTAAGCAGTAGGAGTTTGATCTGTTGACAGGAGCTTTTAATTATTCATGTTGAAAGTTTCAAGTTTGTAACATAAAATTAGGAATATAAACGTGTCGTTAAATAAATTCATAAAGATAAGTGGTAACAAAGATGTGTTGATTTATAGTATTCACTCATCACTTGTCATTCGACAAATCATTGAGTTCCGAATTCATTTAGGCTTGCTGACAATTATCACTATGTGGATTTGTGGAGATTGTCGTATTTTGACTGTTGAATTCGAGAGTCAATCTAGGCTAGATCACCACTGAATATCTAGAAGCACTGAAAGGTCGCTTTGTAGCGGATGCTCACTGATGAAGAACCTCATACTAGGTCGAAATGGCCGTTCAGTGCTCCCAGGTTTTCAAAGGTGGTCTAGCTTAGATGGACTTGTTAATTCAACTACTGAAAATTGCTTAAAAAGGCTTGTTCAGCCCTGAATACTTATTATATATATAGACAGGTTATATAATTTCGTAGCTATTTTCCAATTCGGCGAAATCATAATCTATGGACAACCTTTGAGTAACCCAAAAGTGCCTTGAGAGTATCCACTTATTAACTAGGACCAAATGAGGGATATAAACCAGCATGAAGAATTAGAACTATGATTTGCAGTTAATGGTTAAGGTTAGAAATTAGGTTTAGGGTTTTCATCACTAACTGACATTAGGTCTAATGCCAAAACTCTATTTAGTCAAATGGATCAGTGAATTTCGCTCCAAAATTCAAGACCTGTTATCTTATCTGCTTCGTTCATAAATTATAGTCTCACCAATTCTTCTCTTCAAATAATAACATTATCAGTGATTGAAATCATGAACCAATTGAAGCTAGACCACCATAGAAAACACGAAAGCACTGGCCAGCCGTATCGTCCTAGTATGGGACTTCTCAGCAGTGCGCATCCACGATCCCGGACCCCGCGAGATTTGGACCCTGTCTATATATATATATATATATATATATATATATATATATATATATATGATAAGAATTCAAGGCTAAACAAGCCTTTTTAAGCAATTTTCAGTAGTTGAATTAACAAGCGCATCTAAGCTAGACCACCTTTGAAAACCTGGGAGCACTGAACGGCCGTTTCTATCTAGTATGAGGCTCTTCATCATGATTTCAATCAGTGAAATTTCTAAAATCTCCACAAAACCCTTTCTGATAATAACATTATGTTATTAATTTATGTAAAACAAAACTTTTAAAATCGGTCAAAAGATTTAGATTACACTATAACTGTATAAAATCCAAAGAAGAAACAAATAAAAAACAATCGCTGATTGAAGGTGTTAGTTTTAAGTAACAACATGGAAACAAAAAAAAACAAAGAAAAAATATTGACTGAAATAATTTTGTTAAATTACATAACTATGACAATTTCAGATTATATTCACATTGAAATTTGTTTATTCTCATTAGAATCAAGTTTTTTTTTAATAAAAAAACAGGTTAAAATATTATAGACAATATAGACAAGTAATTGAAAATTGATCACGATCACATTCTATTCTACATTGTTTGTTAAAGATCAAAAAAAGGAAGAAACAGAGTCATCATTTCATACGTATAGGAATTGATAGACAGATTAAAGAGTATGAAAATTAAAACAAAACTATATTAAAAGAAAAAAAAAGTAACGATGTATCACACCAAACGTTTTCTTTTATTTTTCTGTTTTTCCTTCTCATTTATATGGAACACTTAGACAACTTGACATGAAAATCAAATGATTAAATATTGAAATTTTAATGATATTCAATAGGAAAAAGTTTGTTTTCTGAATGTGTACAATATTTCGCATTCTGTTCAAAATCGAAAGAAACATTTTTTTTCTTTTTTTTTACGTACGGAAATCGGAGTATTTCAGTGTGATAGGTGTATGATGAGTTGTTGTCGTTTTTTCTTTGTTCGAAATAAAGGATACTTTCAATTCACTTGGAGTTGTTTTACTAGTATCTTCCCATTGTTATTTAAGACTACAATTGACCAGTGTCTTGTTGACATATGGACATCTTATACAGATTGCCTTGATATAGTCTTAATTCATAAGCATTTTTAAGCAAAGATGGATAGTGGCTAGCAGTGGAATCTAGGACGCGCTTTTCGTTCTATTTGGGACTCGTCAGTTAGATGTACCTTCTATGAGGACTCAGTAGCTAAGTGGATAACGCGATGGCATTTGAAGCGAATGTTACCAGGCTAGAGTTCCGAAGTGAATATCAACACTGAGATGCAGGTACATCCAGCTGACGAGTCTCAAATAGGATGAAACGCACTTCCTGGGTTCCACCGTTAGTCACTGTCCATCTTTGCTTATAAAGGATACTTTGTTTTCAAGAAAAGTATCATTACAAACAAATATCTTAACCTTTTTTAATTAATAAATGACAGAAAAAGATTTTATGAAACTTTTCGTTTTAAAACAATTGAAAAACTGATCTATCATTAGGAAGACTAGGAAGTTTTCGATGTGTTATTGATTTATTACAATATTAAAAAAAATTATTACTTTACACTTAGAAACCGAGTTTATACGAAACATTTCACAGTATAGGTTAATATGATAGTTAAAGAATAACGAACCTATTTTTTATATATATGAATTCACTTACTAATCCTTGTTTATTGCTAAATGTTGGTTCTTTACCCCATGAACATTTACAAGCTTGATCACCGACAATTTTACCATGCATTGTAACAATTGCTTGAGTAGCAGCCACATGTGAATCGAATCTTTTAAAAGATGAATAGAGGAGATTCAAACACATTATGTAAATATTAAGATGTTTATTAGTATAGCTAAGTACTTTCACAGATCAAAATCACATTTTGTAGCATAAAATCTTATGAACGCTGAAACTTAGTGAACTATCGATTAAACATTAGAAAATAATTTTTGTGAAAAATTTCATAGCAACCTTTGAACTGACAGTTGGAAGAGGTATTTCGTGTAAACGTCTTTTAATAGAGCTGAAACATTATACTCACACAATAAGATAAATGAAGGATTGGCTATTTTTTGGAAATAACCTTATTAAAAAACTGGTATCTGAAAAAAATTTACGACGAAATATAGAAACGAATATCCTGAACATAAACAATAAGCAATTGTTTGCACAAAAACCAATAAATATCCCTCTCTGTCTAATGGAGATGAGATTATGATTCTATGATGGAATCACGGCTGTAATCCAAAGATGTTTTCTTGCTGCTCGAACCGTTTCGTTATGCAACACCCAGTGTATGTTATGCCATTTAAGAGTAGATCAACATTTTTCATGTTTTTGATTTAGCAAATATCTAGAGATGACTGAAAGAACGGATTTTATAGACGTGTTCTTAGGAACCTATTGTTGGACGTCAGTAAAATCGTCAAAAGTGCAATTTCCAGACATCTTTGAATAGTAAAAAAAAGAGTGCAGCCAAGTAGTGCGTCTAGAATAATTAACAAACTATAACAATCATTTTACTTCGTTTTACAGTGTCAACCTCTTATAGACATTATTATTACAAACGCACCAATATATACACATCTACTTGTAGTTAATTCGATGTTTTCTCACGGGTTTTTCATTAAAGTAAATAAATGGGTAATTGTGTTCTTAATATAATGGGAATTTTTCAGCAATTAAAATCTTGTGATCAACCCATTGCGTTGAAGGCACTCAATGAGTTTCTGAAGTATAACGCAAAGTTCACTGAAACGAAAACATCATTGGAATTCATAAAAAACTGTATCGAATCATGTCATTATCCGAAACTGTTCTATAAGTCACTACGCCGTAATCATGTTAATCCAAATAGAAAAACATTAAAACGCTATGCACTTAATAAAATTGACACATTGAATAATGACTTGACAGAGATAGAAGTAAACATTGCTCGCAGAAGATTTGCAGTTGATGAATTACCAGAAAACCTTAAGTCCCAGTTTATGGAGTATGTCAGAAAAATAATTAAGGAACGTTCAAACAAGAAACATATCCAACTTCTCAAAAGCCTTGAAAATCAACCGGTTGAAAATAAATTTCCGACGGAACCAAAAAGGTATGTGCACAATTTTTCCAGTACTGAATTAAATAAAGAAAAACTTGAAGTATTAGCACTTGGCCTAAAATTCTGTGATACACGAAACCGCGTAAATCAAATCGATACAGATATCCAATTTGAAAACCTAAATCGTCAGACATCAGATCTGGTCCCGACCTCTGACCAGGAACTTGAACGTTTCAAATCAAACCTAGTTGACTGTTGCTATCAGTTTAAGCATAGTAGATTTAACTACAGGAGTATTTTAACTAAAAAACACAGGGAGGCTATCATGGATCTCATTAGTGACGAGAATCTGATTATCACAAAACCCGATAAAGGAACAGGAACCGTCCTGCTTAACAAAAAAGACTACATTGACAAGATGAATAACATCTTGAATGATCTTCAAAAATTTCAGAAACTGAATAATCAAAAAGATGTCAATAATAAGATAGAGAGTGAACTGATCCGAACCTTAAAAAAGCTCAGAGATCAACAAATGATTTCAAAAGACGTATATGAAACCATTAAGCCGATAGGTACACATTTACCTAGGTTATACGGATTGCCAAAGATACATAAACCGGATATCCCATTAAGACCAATTCTGGACATGTATGATTCTCCATATCATACGGTAGCAAAGTGGCTAGTAACTGTTTTAAAACCACTCCATAATCGCCTGGTAAAACATAGTATTAAGGACGTATTCCAATTCGTTGACAGGATTAAAAACATAAACACGAAAGATCAGACAATGATTTCTTTTGACGTTACATCTCTGTTCACAAATGTTCCACTCAGAGAAACTGTAGAATATATTTGTGAACAACTTAGAGAACAGGAACTAGAAACGACAATCCCTGTAGAGATCATCAAGGAATTATTACTGAAATGCACTATGAATGTACATTTCAAATTCAATGGGGAAATTTACAGACAAATAGATGGTGTCGCGATGGGTTCACCCTTTTCTTTGTTCATACAATTGTGTTCTTAATAAAATGGGTAATGCTTTGATTTCAATGTGCTATTAGTGTAGTTTTTGAACGGTTAAAATAAACTACGTTTTTGATTTTCATTTTGATAATAATTCAGATCAACATTCACAGAACAAAATTCATTGTTAATCTACTGCACCAAATCAAGCTTTATTGATTAAACAAAGTTCAATGTAAAACAGAAATTAGGAAACTTATACACAGTAGTTAGGGAAATCTTACAAAACATTTAGTCTTAGAAATAGTTATCGTATTTATATCTTCTTATTTTATTTTTCTACTTTGTTTCACGGAACAAAAAGGCGCTTATCTTGTACCTCCTTAAAAAAGGGTATGTGCTTTAAAAGAAAAAAGATGTTTCTTTCATCGATCAAATTCATTTCAAGGTATTCAACTGTAATTAGAGTAATTCATTGAAACTGGGATTTTAAGTTACCCATTATAGTTAAGTTATTCGTAGTGATTTATTCAATTTCAAAATAAATTTTATTGTCATCTAATACGAAATAGATAACCAGTAAACATGAAAATATACTGGAGTAGGGAATTAATTAATTCATCGTTTCCCCCAATATCGAACCTACAGAGTATCAATTATAATAATGAACCCTATATCAATCCGTTGATCATTGCTCAAATGATAAAAAATGTATTTCTACTTCATCAGATAAAATAATGATAGATTCATATTATATTGGCTCCTCTCTAAAAAGAACTGCTATTTCTGCATTTTTGTTTGTTGGAACCCCTCTAAATGTTAAACAGAATGAAAAAACAGATAAGCATTCGAAAAAAAGAATCTAATCATCCAAGTCATAACACTTTTTTTCCCATTAACAAAATGAAATCAAATGGAATAAAACTCTTGACTAGAAATAAACTACCTATAAATCAGGTTAAAAGAGCATATATGGTAGAAATGGGTTTTATATTTCTATAAAATATAATCGGTCGAATATGATTATAACATTATTGTTACAAATTTATTTTTTTTTTAAATCACTCATCAACTAAGTAGTAAATTATGTTTTAATGACCTACATTCAAATTGACCTCATTCAAATGATCAATGGTTTCAATTAAGGTGTCTTTTTATTTCTTTCTTATTGAATTATATTCCATATAACAAATATGTCTGTTTTATTTATTTATAGAAATACACATTATCATAACTAATGTTAGTGAAGTGTAAAGTTAAAATGAATCATTTATGAATACTTACCTGATAAATGAAAAACCTTTGTTCTTAAATATTCTAATTTCTTTGATTTCACCAAATTGTTTAAATGAATCTTGAAGAAGTTTCTCTATGAAAAATAAAGAATATAATATAAAATAGATTTTATCTTGTTACATTGTTAAAATAACCCATAGTGTCATTGAATAAGAAAAAGAGAAGTCAGTGAAAAAAATTTTCTTTTTGACGAAATCGTTTACTGAAGCTGTACATACGTATATATATATACTAGTTCTATACAGGAGTATATAATTCATTTCAGGAGGGGTTTTGTGGAGATTGTAGTAATTTCAACAGTTGGGATCATGAGTCAGTTGAAGCTAAACCACCATGGAAAATCTGGATTAGTTGAAGTTAGACATTGACACCGTTGGATGCCGATCAGCTCAGTGGTCTAGTTGGTTAAGCGCCTGGCGCGAGACTGGTAGGTCTTGGGTTCGAATCTCGCGGGGTGCAGGACCGTGGATACGCATTGCTGAGTAGTCCCATACTAGGATGAAACGGCCGTGAAGTGCTTCCAGGTTTTCACGATGGTCTAGCTTCAAATGACTGATGATTTCGATCAGTTGTTTTACTGTAACAGTTAGTAACAGACTATTATGTTCAGTAAGTATTAGTTTGAAGTTAAAACATATCAAATATTAATAGTTTCATACGTTAACTATCTAACTGGATTCAATAAATGACATTTAAATTTTCATTATTATATGCTCTCACTTCTAATGCAAAAATGAATTTGTTATGATGTGAATGATTAAGGTAATAAACAAATTTGACATTTATTATTACATTTTTCTATTGTTTATTTGAATCTTCAAATCAATGTTTAGGATTGTAACTGATCAGTGGGAAGACTTAAACAAACAATACTAAATGAATAAAAATTTCATCTCATTGCAATGGTTAGTAGCTATATGGACTTAGTAGTTAAGTGGATAACGTTATGGCGTTTGGAAAGAAAGGTATTGTGTCCGAGTCCCACAGTAAACATCAACTCTATGGTGCAGGTACATCCAGCTGATGAATCCTGAATAGAACGAAACGCACTTTCTGGATTCTACTGATAGCCACCATCCACCTTTACTTATTATTACTTTGGTAGGAGGATAAAACTACATTAGTTAGATATCCCCCAAAGGAATTTTTTAATATTAGGCGACTTTATGCAAATAAACAAAGTATTAAATTTCCAACCTATTTTGTCGGGCTACGAAATTCGATTATTAAGATCTTATTTTACATCTTTTAAGTTTCTCTACAAAATAATTCGTAACGTTTTGCAAGAACATTTGCTCGTTTAAATGTCTTTTTCTTATTTATTAAAATGAAAAATTATTATCACATTTTAGTGTAATCAATCATCGTTTTCTTTGGTATTCAAATAATTAAGTGACATAGATAATCGATTTTTGATAGGTTTGAAATGTACAGTGAATGGTTCTGGAACATTTGTAACATATTGTCGTTTATTGGGAAATAGTGTTTACTTAAGAGACGTCTATAAAACTTGCTAAGATGACATCAAAGATTAACAACTGACTCATAAAAATCTTTTTAAACACTAGCAAATTAATGACCAAAATATTCAGTTATCCAAGGGGGTTATAAGTTGAGAATATACTGAACAATTTGTTACCGTAAAATTAAAAGTCGCATTGCGTGCCGTCACGTTTTAGCATATTGGTCCGTAAAATGAGATCTTTTAATTAGATAGTAGGAAATTTATGACAAAAAGGTGAATTTATACATAAATATATATATTTCTATTTATTGTTCGCGCTCTTGTTTATGAAATTGCGCCACTATGGATTGGTTGAAGTCAGATATTAACACCGTTGGATGCCGGTTCAGTGGTTTAGAGGTTAGGCGTTCACGCTCGAGAACGAAAGCTCTGTCTTCGAATCTCGCGATCAGAATCGTGGTTGCGCATTGCTGAGGAGTCCATTACTGGGACAAATCGGTCGTCCAGTGCTTCCAGGTTTTCCATGGTGCTTTAGCCTTAATTAACTCATGAATCCAACTATTAAATTGCTACAATATCCACCAAATCCTCTCTCTGATAATATGAACGTTTAGTTGATTACCGATAACTCTGCATAGATTACCTTTGAAGCTACTATCGAATCGGAACCTGAGTATTGAAGGAGGTTTGAGAAGAGGATTAACAATCGCATCTGGGAAATAGCACCCCCATTTCAGAATCGCCAGTGAGAATAAACTACTTAAACTCTAGTTTTCAAGTTGTGAGCTGTTCACGTAAAAATGATAAGATAGAACATATTGAAAACCATGTTGGTTATATATAAAATTTATATACTTCCATCCATTTTACTTTAGTCACGAGTATTTCAAGTTATTGTTTTCCTTTCAAACACTATTTCCTACATGTGAATACATAAAACTACTCTTAATAAGTTAAGTTGAAATTAAACTAAATTAGCATAACCAATGCATCTATTTAACTCACTCATATAATTATCAATAGTATAAATAGATTTTCTAAATTATTTTAATGATGTTGCATTATAATTCAGTTGGTTACTATAAAATCAGTTTATTGATTATCGATTTTAAACAAAACGACAAACAAAACAAACAACAACGTAGTTTCACAATTGATTGATCACTGGGTGGCGATCAATGTCATGTGTGTCTAGTCCTTATTAGTGGAGATCGAATGCTATCGATCATATTGCAATGTGGTCACCAATCTAGGTGACTCGACACTGCGGGCACTATATGTTGAGATCGATAGCATTCGATCTGTACCAATAAGAACTAAACACGCATGACATTGATCGCCACCCAGTGATCAATCAATTGTGATTACATCTCAGTCCAACAGGATGTCAGTCGCGGCTCGGATAGCTCAATGGTAATGTCTCTGACTGTGAAGCTGGGTGACATGAGATCGAATCCACCAGGGAGCACCAGTTCACTCAAGATTACAGGTACACCTTGCTGACGAGTGGCAAGTAGCACGAAACCTGGGTCCAGGATTTCCTGTCGACTACCTCCAACCACCATCTAATCTCAACAACGTAATTTCTTTAAATCTCATTATATAAATACTTAAAGATAATATTATATTTTTCTTTATTGTTTAATGCTTAATAAAAATGAATTACATTTTCTTTTAATTGATAATCATTTTATAGTTAGTTTATTTAAACAAACTTTAGTTTTATAAATGTACATTATCCGTATATTGAATGTATAACACCCATAATTATAACGCATTAGAATTATAATTATGATTGGTTATTGAATTTTAATTATAGAATTATAATTTTTTTTTAAAAAAAATAAAGGAAACTAAATAATTTCCTATTCATTTTAATATATAGAAATGAAGTTCATTTTTCATTAAAGTAGAATAGGAAGTAATAGAAAACTATAAAATGATAATAAACTTAATCATATGAATAAAATTACAAAAAAAAATCAATAAAAAATCCCCATTTATATATCCATATGCACACACACACACACACACAAAAAGGAATTAAATATTTTCATTTACCAGTTAATTCATTAGTTATACCACCAACATAAATTGTTGTATTTGCAGCAGATGATGCATTAAATACTTCTAAGTAATTTAATGGACGATGATCTAAAAAAGAAAAAAAAAGAGAAAAATAATAATCAATGAAAAAAAAGTTAGATAAATTAACGAGGGAAAAAAAAGAATAAACATTGAAAAATAAAAAGAAGAAGAACAACAAAAATCGAAGTGAGAATAATTTAATTGAAAAGCTTTAATGATTGTACTTTTAATCTCATTTAGTATGTTCATAAAGTTTAATACAATGTTTCTTGAATTTATTCTAGATTTCATGGATTATTATCAAGAATTGATTCGAGTTTTTAAATTAAATAAAGCCAGAACAAATATTTGATACAGAATAATAATGAATTCATTATATTTCATGGTTAATCATCAGTTACTTACAACCAAATTTGTATTAGAATTTTATATTGAGATAAGAAATAATATGAAACAATTGACGTGAGTGAATGTAAAGGATTGGAATGACAAAGGTTATCAATGATGACTATATATATATAGAACAAGTTAGAGGTTATTTGATGTTAGAATCAAGTAAACATTAAGGATGGGTGATGCAATAATTGGATAGAATTTGAAGAGTTCACATAATTTAAGAGAATCAAGTGAATGGAAATGTCTGAGTGAAGAGGTGGTTTAGGAATTCACTAATGGAAGAGGAATATAACAAACTAAACATTGACAAAATAAAACGGATGATAAAAAAAAATAGATTACCAGGGTAGTAATAAGTTTATTACTGTCTCTTTTTAAATACATAGATCTAGTTTGAGTTTTTTATCACGATCGCTTCAGAAAAACGGATAAAAGCCGTATTTCTTTGTCTGGCAATAATTTTAAAAGCACGAGGAATGTCATTGATATTCCCGGTGTCGAGTAAATGCTGAGCTATTGCACTTTTGAGAGCCCTTGTGTTTTATTCCTCTTCCATTACTGAATTCTTAAACCACCTCTTCACTCATACATTTCCATTCACTTGATTCTCTTAAATTATGTGAACTCTTCAAATTCTATCCAATTATTACATAACCCATCTTAAGAGTTTTTAATTCCATGAATCTTATGTAAACCCTTCATTACCTCTAAAAGTTCAATTGTTACAACATCCATCCTTAATGTTTCCTTGATTTTAACATCAAATAACCTCATCATTGATAACCTTTGTCATTCCAATCCTTTACATTCACTCATGTCAAGTGTTCCATATTATTTCTTATCTCAATATAAAATTCTAATACAAATTTGGTTGTAAGTAACTGATGATTAACCATGAAATATAATGAATTCATTATTATTCTGTATCAAATATTTGTTCTAGCTTTATTTAAATTCATAAGGGGAACTAATTGCATGAAAGAGTTAGAAATATTAACCATTAGATTTTAACTTGTTGATTTACCATTATCATTAGGCACCATTGATGCGATCGTGCTTTATTAAATATACAGTATTAATTCATTGAAGTCCTTTAAAATTATAAAATGTTTTCCTTAAATATTTTTCACCTATGGTTAATTCAGTAGATTTATTAGTGTCTGTGAATTTTTATTACGTAGGTAGTCTGATATTATATGTTTATTAACTATAACATCGGTATATAACAAATTGTTTTGTGTTTTGTTTTTCAAGTCTGGAAACATCACAAAAATGGCATAAGTCTGATATCTGACAATTGGCGGCCTGCTTGAATATCTGGGCTACCTATTCCTACGATCTAGATATTTCATCAAGTTATCTGTTTTGTTGTTTGTTTTAGCACATCATTATGTCTATTGTGCGCACAATCTATTCAGGCGCGTTTATGAAAAGTTTACAAACTTTCGCTATACGGGATACAAAAAGGTACAATCAGCGACATCATGGTGGATGGCAATATGCATTGAAACGAATGAACATTAATCAAATGTGGATTACCGAACTCCTAACATGTAACTGGTCATCATTCAAAATCTATCGTCACAATCGATCAAGGTATAAGAAAAGGAAACTTGTTGAAATACTTTATGCTGAGAATTCTATGTTATACCAAAAATATAATGTTGAATAAAGCTAATAATAATAATAATAATAATAATAACAATAATAATAATACACAATATGGATTTAAACGAGTAATAATTCCTTAAATTCCAAAAATATACTAACAAGACAAAAGTTAATTTTAAAAATGTTATGTAATTATGAAAGGCATTTCAAAAACCCTGGTCACAAATTACTTTTCTGTAGTTACCGTCACCATTTCCGATAAACTTAAAGGTGACAGAATTTTAAATAACTTTTTGATACTTCTGCAAAGATTTTTAGGACTGACTTTTAAAATTAATGAAAAGTGCAACCTTATTTGCGTTTAATAAGTGATTGATAAACAATCCGAGCCTGATCTGGCGATCCTTAATTTACATTTTATGCCAATTCAATATTGCGCCTAATTATTCTTTAAGTTTCCATGTAAAATGTTTCAATAAGTAGATTTGTGATTATGATTATGATTACGAAAATGACCTTCATAAGCCAATGGAAATTTTCGTACTAAATTTGTATATTAAAATCCCCATAATATGTAGTTATTGTTTTTCGAAAACTATTTGATTTAGCTTATTATGATTATCCAAACGAGCACATTTCTGTTTGAAGCCTAATTAGTTAACATTTATGAAAACCATATCCTAATACAGCATTAATAATGGTATGATTTATTTAAATATATGAACTTTCGTCTTTTTATTATTATTTATTTATTTGAACACATAGATATTGGTACAAGAACGCACCAGATAAATATGCGCCACACAAATCTCGTTGGATTTGTGTAAGGGCTGGGATACTGCCTGGGTGCTCAAACCAAAATAGGTAGTCTTCTTAGGGGGCCATACACGAAGCATTCGATCTAAAGGTCTGATCCACAAGGCAGTAGAGCATCGTAAGGAGATGCACTCCCATGGAAGCCAGTGACCAACAATTAGTTCGTTTGCCTTTTATTTTTTCAGGATGCTGGAGCCCATGTGCACCATTGGTTTGGAATCAGGGTTTTCCAACTCCCTTAGGTGGACTCTTTATGTCCATCAACCCGGTTAAAGCGTCGGACATTCGCCTTTCGTCCTCTCAATTTCGTAAAAAACACCCTCGCCACGAGAAATCAGTGAGTAGAACTTCCTTGGCTTCTTACAGGGAAATTTGAGGAAACAGATTCATAGTATTTTGGCGTAGAAGACACTAAGGTACCTATTTATATTAGATAATTTTGATGTTTGATTATATTTCCTTGAAAAATCTTGGACCAGATTGTCAAGCACAAAGTTGGATTTACTTCAAATTCATTCTCTGATATTTTACAAATACATTCTTCCTCCTTAATATCGTTCTTATAGCTATGAATTACGTTAACACGTTTCAGAGTTTATCAAAAAAACACAGTGTTAACAGTATCCAGTTATCAATGTTTACTTCAAGAAAGTATCCAGGAAAAGCTTGATAACTTTAATCTATCAAATCTGATAATTTACTACAATTAATATTGGAATATATCATTTAATTTGATTTAGAATTACTATAGTAAGAACTATCATTTTCTAATCCATTAATAGGCGTCTGTAATGGTTTTGCCATAATAAGCTAATAGAATAACAATTTACTTCGGGCCCATAAGAAAATTTGTTCCTTTAAATCATAGTATTTGTTCTGTCGAACTATTGATGAATATAGTCATATTATTTAAAGCAAGACAATATGCTTAATAATTTTTTAATAGAAATATAAAAAAGTGCACATCCACGATCCCGCACCACGCGGGGTTCGAACCCAGGACCTACTGGCATCGCGCGCGAGCACTTAACCACTAAACCACTGAGCCGGCATCCGATGGTGTGTTAATGTCTAACTTCAACCAATCTACGAAGTTGCGCCACCGTACACCATTGTCTTCAGTGAGTTCCTATCTCACAACAGACCAGTTGAACTCCACTGGTAACGGCTTCTCACTAGAACTCCAGGAGTTTTTCCTGAAGTCAGTCACTAGTGAGCAGTTGATTATTATTAGAATGGGTTTTGTGGAGAGTTTTAGAAATTTCACAGGTTAAATCATGAGTCAGTTGAAGCTAGACCACCATTGAAGACCTGGAAGCACTGGACGGCCGATTCGTCCTGGTATGGGACTTCCGCATGGTGCGGGATCGTGGATGCGCACTTCTGAGGAGTCCCATACCGGGACGAAACGGCCGTCCAGTGCTTCCAGGTCTTCAATGGTGGTCTAGCTTCAACTGACTTATGATTTCAACCTGTGAAATTTCTAAAACTCTCCACAAAACCCATTCTGAAAATATAAACAGGCTATAAAGTTTGGGTCAATGTCGAAAGTGAACAAAAAATATAAACCACTATGTAAGTCTATATATAAACCAATGCTTCATCAAATGAAAAAGAGTTTTCGAAACTACTAATGATCAGGAAATAGTAATTTATAGTAATCAATGAATTTTATAGAAGGTTCTATGGGATGTACATGCAAGTCATTTATAGATAGATGGAAAATATTTATGTAGTCGTCTTAACGAAATTGATTAAATGCCACTTTAGTCTTTAACATTAAGGACATACCGATCTCAGTGGTTCTAATAAGCATAAGGATTAGTTTACCCTGAAAAACGCTTTTCTTCACATCTATATTAATGTAGGATAATAATCATAAGGCAAAATGTTTCTATTATCTTCATTAATCTTGAGATGATTAAAATGATTTATAGCTCAATAATTTATACTATTGATGTTATCTAAAAAGACAATATAAACTTCACAATTAAATGATTCAACGCAATACTTGGACAATTCTAAATCTTTAATAGTACAAATGTGAATAGATTTAATCTTGTCTTATTCAATAATGCGTAGTTTTTATGACATATCAGTGTATTACATCGGTACAACGGTTTCCTTAAAGTAGAAAGTATGAATTCAAGCTTTAATAAAATCTCATAATACATTGTTTTGTGTTTATATTTATGTGTGGAAAGTAACAATAACAATGAATTGATGGTGTTAAAAACCTATTAAAAAATTGATGGTTGAATTTATGTTATATATATATATACACATATATAATCCTCTAAGTGCTACTTGTCTAAATGAACGGCAGGGAAGAAAAGAAAACCTTTTTATCACAATAATTATCTATCAGATATTGTTATTATCAGCACGTAATTACTAATATTCCTCCACTTAAAGTAGTGGATTAGTCATCAGTAGAATTGAACAGAGGCTAGTGGTGAAATTTAGGTTTCTTTATATCTGGGACTCATTTAGTGGTTTTACTATGTATCCCAATATTGATGTCCTCACAGATATTCATGTTTCTCCCCTTTTACTTTGAGCATAAAAGTTTTATTCACTGAATTATTGATTCGACATAGTCAGGTTGCTTGAGAAACGGTTTATATTTTATTACCTGTAGAGTACTACATTTGAGTCTTAGAATGAACATCATCATTGAGACTCGATTACATCCGTCAGACCCATCGCGTTAAAAATGAAATTCACGTACTATTTTCCACTGCTAGCCAATGTTTAACAAAAATATGTCACCGAATGTCAACCATATGTTATCAGAGACTTATCATTTGCATTACTTAGTATCAACAACAAGAAAATACAAACCTTTAGAAACTGGACACTTTATTTGAAGACGTTTTGTATTTTCTCTTTGTTGATATATTGGAGTGTCTTTGATCAACCACTCCTCAACGTCTGTTACAGTGACATTGTGATATTTTTTGGATCATAATTAGCAGAAGACTCGAGGATATACATTTCGTTTATACAGGGACTTTTTGTAGTGAACAAGAACACTGGTGGCGACAATTGAATGTACTCAACACAAAATTACACGACTTGTTAATAAAATCTAAAAATCATAAAGTAAATGCTTAATTCGCAAAATGTCCATCGATTGTCTCAAAATGACTCAGAATTCATTGTTCTTGCATTTTCATACAAATTACATCCTGTTTCCATTCTTTGCTGTTCGATCCTCTTGTTTCTCTGCTCTCAGACCTTCTGTTAACGACTAACATCATATACTACTTATGTCAATATAAAAGTAGCACAAACCACACATTAGACATCAATCAGCGTAAGCTAAAAAACAGTGATTATTACCACTGTTTATGATACATCACTGGGGTGTATGATTTAATAAAATAGTAACTGGTATTATGTTTTCATTGAATCTACAACACAGTATTATATACATATAAAAAGATATTGTTAAAAGTAGAACTTATGTAACCATAATTGTTCATCAGTCAAACTATTATTTGCTAAAACTGTTTCAGATCGTTATGTTTTGTAGACTTGAAAAAGGAAACTTTATTTAGTCGATTTATATCCTTTTACTACTGAAAGGATTCATTTACTTAGATGATCAGTTAAAACATTTCAAAGTATATATGAATAATTTAAAAACTTTTGTGGCTTAGTTATTATACTAAGATATTTCTAATATTTATCTCATTAATAATTTACTAATGCTACTAGTCATGATATCTGTAAAATAAAAACAAGCATCTATTTCTAAGTACATATATACCTACCTAAATACACAAATGATAGGTTATACAGTAACTGAGTATCTGTAATTGTATATATCGACCAACTGCTATCGATTCCAGCTGTGGTTTTGCAAGGGTTTTTTGGAACTTCTTCTCTGAGATTACTTTAGATAAACTCCAACATTTAAAGATTTACATGATTACCTTTTGTTTAAGATTGTATGTCTGTCAGCTGTTAGCTGACAGTACTATGTTACCAAGTGGTGGTTTAGTGGTCAAAAAATTGTTTTTCAAAAACGAAGTTTCAAGTTTGAATCCCATGTAACTTGGATTATTTTAAACAATCATTGATCGATGTGGCCTACTTGAATATCTAGACTACTTGTTCCTGCCATCTGGATATTTTAACAAGTTATCTGTTTTCTTGTTTGTTTTAACACATCATTATGCTTATTAGTTTCATAATTTATTCAAGTGCGTTTGTTGTAGCTTAACATATTTCGCTATACAAGTTACAAAAGAGCCTAATCAGAGACACTCTGGTTGCTGGCAATATGCATAGAAAAGAAGATACATTATTCAGACGTCGATTCCTGAACTACTAATATCTAACTGGCAGCTACTCAGTATCTATCTTCAGGATCGATCAAGAAATAATAAAAGGAAACCTGATCAAATACATCCTGCTGAGAAGTCTGTATTGTACCAAAAATATGATATTGAATAAAGCCACCAATAATAAAATATCAGTTTAGGGGTTGTGGAGATTGTTAAGTTTTTAATTGAGATCTTGAACCAATTGATGTTAGACCACCATTGAAAACCTGGAAGAACCGGACGGCCGTTTTGTCCTATTGTGGGACTCCTCAGCAATCGGTTCATAATTTCAATTAAAAACTTAACAATCTCCACGACCCGTAAACTGATAATTACGATATGCTCAATAGTGACTAGCTTCGTGACAAAATTCTCGGAGTTCTGGTGAGAAGCCGTGACCAGTGGAGCTAGTCCGTGTCGGGTAGAAACAGGTGTCTACCTCAGTACTATGGAAGATGGTCCCGCAACTTCGTGGATTGGTTGGGGTTAGAAATTAATAGCATTGGTTGCCGGTTCAGTGGTCCAGTAGGTTAAGCGCTCGCGCTCGAGACTGAAGGCCGCTGGTTCGAATCCCGCGAGCGGGACCGTGGATGCGCACTTCTGAGGAGCACCACAATTGAACGAAATGGCCGTCCAGTGCTTCCGGGTTTTCAATGGTGGTCTAACATCAATCGGTTCATGATCTCAATCAAAAGATAACAAAATAATGAAATTTAAAGAAAATAAGATGGCATCACCTGTCCCCGTGCATTAAAAATGTACCTGAAAGGAGTGCACAAAAGTGTATTTAGCAAAGAAGTTAATGTGTATCAAATCACTTTAATGTTATGGAACTTTAAGTGACCCTAAATCTGACTTCATTTAGGTTGTATGAATGATTGGTATTGAAATATACATTTCACCAATCCTCGAATATAATCATCGACTTAAATCGCGTTGGTGAATGACGGAATTTAATATGTCAAATACGGGAATGGATTTTTGAATACGTATATTTTGTACGATCGTTGATCGAAAAGCGAAGCAAAATGAAATGACGAGTAGTGGAGAAGGCAATTTAATTTAATCAAGCGTGAATCGATATTTGTAATCAGATAAAATTAAGTTACAGACATATGATGTGTAAGATAAGGAATGTACACACATACGCTTACATAAAATGTCAAGGTTGATAAGCGAATAAGTGACAGGATAAAAATGTGGCTTGAGAAGGATGAATAGTTGATCTCTAGAGAGGCTAGAATAACCTATGTGCGCTTGACATAGCGTCAGCCCTTACAAGCTTTCCAATACTGTTTAGATGAGTGATTTGTGAAATTCGATCATTTGAATGTATAGGTTTGTTGAAAACAAATCAACTGGTAGACGTGACTCAATTATAACATGGGAATGGTTTTAGACATAGCTCACCTTTAGCTTGGTCTGCTGGATCTTTACGTACTGCCCAGTTTGTTCTTATTGCTCTTGTTCCAATAATTTGACCGTTCATGATACGGATAGCACGTTCAGCTTCCTATTTTTATGAAGAAATGTTATTAAAGAGAGAAATAAGTTTATTGTAGTTAAGATGACCTTTGAGAAATGGATTTCGTTCAAGAGATTGACTATTATAAATGTCTCCCTTAGAAAGACGTTCGTTCTTTTGATTCACAATAGTTAAGATCACTGTCTGATACAATTTTTTTAAGTACCCCTCTTTGATTGAACAACATAACAGTCAATTTAGAGGACAATAAAATTCACTAAAATGTAGTGGAGTAAGAATCTGAGCTAGCTCTACATATAGTTAGATGGACAGGGAGTTCAAAGTACTTGTACCTCTTCGATTTAACTAATTTTAATATAACGTACTCGAGTAAAAATTCACAGTAAATATATCAAAGTAGAATGATTTTCAGAGCACGCTTACTTGATTTCGGTTACTGTTCATTTGTTTTAAACTACAGCACGTTACGGAGCTTAAGCGGGTTTTGTTATCCGAAACTTTGAAACTAAGAGTTTTTCATTAAAACAAGTAATGGAATTAAATATGTATGGTGCTTTTCTTTAGCTTACCAAGTTTTTCAGTCTTGAGAGTGAACCTTTTATTGCATAAAGAAAGTTATTTTAGATAAACACATTTATTCAAAGTACTAATTTCCTTAATATGATTTAGTCGTTGCCCAGATGCAAAGGCTATCAAAAATTATTTCCCCGAGTTTTCACAATGTGTTCGTAGATTTATCTCATGGTTGATTAAGCTTTATTATGTGATGATAACTTATGAACCATACGTAAGAAGATAATGAGCAATAATGGGATCGGTATAACATAAATGCATGTTTTGTTTAGTGCGTAAGTCATTTTCACTATATGATAAGATGCGAACACTTTCTGATCAATACCGTGTGATTCAAGCACTCAACAAAAGCATCATTACAGCTAGCATTAAAATGCATACCACTTTAAACTGTTCCTGGAAGTTGATTTGGTAAACTCTTTGTATTAATCGTGATTACTTTAGAGGTTTCATGAAGTTACAGTAAACTATGATTTTACTCAGAAATCCGTAAACTATTAGACATTGAAAAAACGAATTTACACAGCATAAACGTTTTATCTAACCCTTTTTGTGAGTACCTACTTTGTACTTATTGAATAGGGTGTAGGAGAACTTCGTCAAATTGGTGGTCTGTATGAAAATAGCTTTATTTCACAAAATATATTAACATAAAACAGTGAACCCTTGTATCGTAATTACTGAAATTTACGGTGATTCTGAATGCTAAGGGGTTTTTAATGGTTTTTCTGCTGATATTAATGAGTGACGAAACTTTAACTTCTATATCATTTCAACAATCTGTGTTAAGTAAAACAAACTATCTTTAATACTTTGGTTATAAATCTGTTGTTAATTAACAAACAACAACTTTTACGGAAATCACTTCATTGTTAGTCACTGATTTTCAAGGGTACCCTAATGTTTTCCATATTTAAAAGAACTTGATTTGAGATCGGTCACAACTGATTACCTGGATACCAAGAGATGACCTACTGACTATATTGTCAATAAATGATTTGTTTCCGGTTTGACGTTATTGGATTCTACATTTTGAAAGTCCGAGTTGGTATACAAAATTTTTATCGTTTGCAACAAATCTTTGACGAAAAGGTTTGTCTTTTTAAAGGGAAAGCAATTTCAACTCATAAATTCAAATCGCATTGTATTTTAGGATGTTTGGAATATTTACAATTGTGTATGTATAGTTAGTTTACAATAATATAAAACATATTGACGAGTAGTTAAAAATTAGTTCACTACAATCAATAATAATATTAAAACGGATATGTATAAACTTCGGCGGAATTCAGTCAAAGCTTACTTGTCTTGTTGCATAGGCCACAAATCCATATCCTTTCGGCTTCTGTGTATGCATATCCTTGATGATTTTACATTCTCTAGATTAAAAGTTAACAAAGAAAACCAAAAACATGTTTAGGATATTTTTAAAAAGTCAATGTCCAGTGACTTCTATGAAATTTGTTCCATTTGGAATAACTAGCCTTATATATATATATAAATATCATAATTCCAAACAGATGATTGGAAGTCTTAGAATGTGAAAAAGATCGTACCAGAGGTGATGCAAACGGTTATTGATGATATAAAATAATTATGAAGCTTCATCACGAATTGATGAAACGGAAATATATATAGCTGAAATTTAACAAAATATTGTTGCAATTCAATTGTTTCGCCATTTTTAGCCTATGTCAGTATGTGATCAAATCTCCATTAAAATCAAACATCTTTTTGGACAAGGTAAGTTAGTTCAGAAGAACAATGCTAATTCTACTATATTTTAAGTTGAAAAACGGAATCGATCGATTAACTACCGTTTTAACCACTCACTGTTGAGTTTTTAGATATGAAGACTATGTGGAGTCCTTGAAACTAGAGCATGAAGACAATTGTGGACATAGATTCCGCTGTAAAAATGTCGAAATTCTGAATGATGCATCCTAAAAATGATAGAGAATTCCTAAAAGCATGTCACTCAGATCGGAGGGAGACAAGATTTGACAAGATCTGTAAAACCATTCGACAAGGATCAATCTAAAACCTGGTCACAAGTCAACAGAGCATGGTTATTAATTGAATACAAGGTTAGATGAAAGTAACAAACCTTACGATAATAATTAGTCTCAAACAAGGCCACCAAAAAATATAATTGAAGGTTTGTGGAATAACCAAGAAGTTGACGTCAACATGGAGAAATCAATATCAAAATATATCAACTAGTGTCTTGAATTATTTTATTTGTCCAAAAACTAGTAGTGAAAAAACCACTAATTCGAAGATAAAATGCAGAGCACTACGATAAAAGTATCATTAACCTGCAGTACTAGAGCTACTATCTACTTTGTTTCCATTGTTTGAATGAATTAAGTACTCTTTTTAATAGTGGTTATTTTAAGTGTATTGTGTTCAGTTTTCTGGTTTAATTATAACTGTAGTTTATATTAAAATCAGTTTTTAAGGTACTTGCCACGTTTAAAACTTCTTTTAGTAAACGGTATTGACAACAAGTTTGTTGAACAAAACACAAACTGTCGATGAGTTGTATGAAAAAAAAACTACAAATATATTGAAATCTTTATTTTTTTGTATTACTAGTGGTACTGTAGTGAACGAAAACACAAGGGGGACAACTAAATATATTTGAATACAAAATTAAAGAATCTCACAGTAAAATCGGAGAACCATACCATAAATACTTCGTTTGTAAAATATCAGTTAATCGTCTCATACTTCATTGTTCCTTCATATCCACATCATTCATTCTCTGTTCTTGTTCTGTTCTCTTCAATCTTCTTAATCTTCTGCCACCAGGCACTTCACTATCTATTGATGATACATACTACTTATATTTATCAATATCAGTAGCACACACAACACCATATGAGTTTTTCTTTTACATAATTATTGTGAATGAACTAATTAATTTTATTTCCTTTAAAAAGATTCTTACTAATATTAATAATATAATCTTATATTAATTAAATTCTGTTGTTACTTTTACTTTAAACATCTTGTTTTCCATAGAATACCATGGTAAATTGTCAATAATTGGTCTACGCCCAAATTTTAATCTTTTCCAGTGAGTGTGTATTTAAATGTAAACTATTTTTTTTTTAAATATATAAAGTAGCATTCTATGAGAAGTAGTAAACTATACGTCTGATCAACGGTAGAACCTTTTCTATATTCTCTATTTGTTAATTTCTTATATAGAATAGTAAAATAAAAACAAACTTCATTTCTGATAAAAAAAATTAATAATAATATTAAATAAAAAAGATTAGTTCAGGGAAAAGTTCTCTTTTCAGGGTGAATTCATTTTCAAAGCTGTACAATCACAAGTATATACACTTATTCTTTGCAGAATGATACTGATTACAATGATACTGATAATAAACTTCAATTAGATATGGTGACAGTGAGGTATTCAAAAAACGTTTTTCTTTAAACAGGGAAACTAATAATCGTTTGATTGCTTAATGGCTTAAATATTCATCAAAAGATAGATAGGAAAATTATTATTGTGAAAGGATGGCTAAACATGATAAAATAAAATGTTGAAATTGAGATTAAATGTAATCAGGAGGATTGTAGAAACAAAAATAAACATATTTTGAAGTTGAAAACAAATAAAATATTCACTTTCTTGATGTGGAAATGACAAGAAATCTAGATGAAACTCTAAGAAGATCTACCTACAGGAAATTCACGTGAAATGGCCAACTATCAAATTTCCACATTTAGGTTCTCATTAGTCGAAAGAAAAACTTAATAATGTCACTCGATACGCGAATACAAATAATTTGTAACCCCGTTGTCATAGAAGACAAACTGGGCCTCTTGAAGGAGATACTTATCAAAAACGTGTATTTTTCGATATTCATTGATAAGAACATAAAACTAAAATTGCCGAAAACATAAATAACATCAGTCGAAAAGGAAATATTATACATGAATATCAACTTTAAGGGTGACAGAGCCACATATGTCTTAAATAGGAGGATTTCTAATTCATCAAAATGAACGTTCTTCACAGCAACTTTGCGAATAGTATCCTTCAGCCTATCACTGTTCGTCAATAACCTTAAGAACAAATGATCTCATGTGGCCAACTCTGCGTGCATTTGCCAATTCACCTGCTCATTTGGAGGCAGGTATAGAGGTCGTTCGATGCATTCTTTATCCGAAAGAATTCAAGAAAATTATCTGGCATGTCTACGAGGAGGAGGAAACGGCTCAATAAGAAGTTCAATAATCAAGCACCTTGTGAACACAGGTCACTAATCAAGTCAGACTATGCGTTCAAAGTCATCTACGAGGCAAGTAGAAGTCTTACAAAGACAAATAGATTGCGTCTTCTTAGCATTGCCGAAGCACTAGCAATACATCTGGGTAAAACAGCATTGAGTGTCCAAAAAAATCGGTACAACGTTTTTATCTACTATGGTCTTAATGCCTTATAATTTCTTAACATACTATTCTTCTTTTATGGTCATCTACTTCCCCTTTCAAGTGTACGATTACTTAGGACAAATAGTTAAAAAATAAGAATTATGATAAATCAATTGCACTTTAATCTGTGTTCACATGGTTAACATGAAATTTTTAGTAATCAGTCATCAATCACCTAGTTACACATAAAACTGAGTGAAGAATTACAGATTTTAAAATATTTCATTGACTATATAACTAAATTACATGACTCTATAACTTCATAACCATTAATTATCTTTGAATGTTTTATTAGTTAGCAACAAAACACATAAACAAATATGTTTTTCCACTTAGATCTTCATCAGGCTTTGTCTTAACATATAGAAATAAGTTGATGAGCATATGATAGAAATTCCTTTAATTGAAACAACAATTCAACAGCAAATTAGTTGGCGATATCTTACGTAATTGACAAATGAGAATTGTTAAAATTAATCAATACATAATTAACTTTATTTTGTTATATTGTAGTCAATCATTGATATCATTTTGAATAAAGGAAAAGTGGTTTAATTTTACGTATTCAGTGTGCAATAAAACATCCAGTTACTTTTGTCGTGAAAACTATACTCACTACACCATTAAGTAAATTAACCAATGAATAAAAAAATATTCCTTAAGTGATTTCTGAAAAGTTTTGGCTGAATAAATGTTTGGTTCGGATTTTAGCCACTTCTAATAACCTTAGGCTGAATCTACGCAGTAAATAAGACGCAAGAGAAAAAGAGCGAAGATTCAGTTTATTTGATTCTTCAAATAAATCGAAATGATTTAAGAATACATCACATTTTATGTGATGTATTCACTATGAGATTAACAGTCAGATTTGTATACATTGAATTGAGTTGTATTAAACAATAATAATTCGATAACTCACCATGTGAATAAATGTTTACAATCGTATGCAATTAAGATTCTGTGATCATTTTTACAGTATGAATATATGTTAAACACAATTGGCAAAAAACCAGATTCATATGTTGTTCACATTCTAGTTGATTAAGGTATTACTCGCCATATTTATTTAGAAACGAATAAATAAAGGCAGTACATAGTTCTATCTCATCAAACGTAGTCAACACTGACCATGTAATATGTGAAACCAAATTATTTCCAGTAATCTGCCGTATGACTTTGTCTGTAGCTCTTCTAGGGCTACTGCTGATCCTAAGCTCGAGTAAAACAGAAAGGTTGGGTGTGAAAAAAATCTTGCTAAAAAAAGCTAACCAGAATATGTAATCTGCCATATAATTTAGTCGTTTACCAACGAGGTTTGATCCTTTCTTCTACCTCTAATTTTGTGTTGATTAGATAAAACTAGAGCAACTTTTTTATCAAACTATCACAGTCTTCAATTGTTTTTATTCTATTTCTATAATATATATTGTTCACTGTTTGATTATTTGCACACTGCTCTTTGCGTTTTTTTTTCACAGTTTCTCGCTATTATTAGTTTAATGTCTATTTACATAAGCTTTGACGTACCTCACTTTTGAAAACATTGCATATATGCCAATAACAGACTGATCAATTGATTCTTAAACCTCAATTGGAAGATACAAGGTAAACAATACCAAGTGAATTGAAATTTACCCCATTACACGAGCAAGTGGCTATCAGGACTCAGTAACTGAGTGAATAAAGCGATGGCGTTCGAAGCGAATAGTACTGGGTTCGAGTCCCGGAGTGAACATCAAATATGAGGTGCACATACATCCAGCTGACGAGTTCCAAATAGGACGAAACGTGCGTCCTGGATTCTACCGCTAGCCGCTATCTATCTTTGCTTACAAAAAGCGTGTGAATTAAGGCAATATCGAGGCATACGCACAGTATGCACATATGCCAATAACAGACTGATCAATCACAGTCTTAAACCTCA